GGGGGTGGTGCCGGGTTCAGCTACAAGATAGCAGTACACACTTATATGTACCTTATGCCTGTCATCCAGCACCAGGATTAGGCCATCCTCCCTAACAGTAATCAAACTACTACAGGACTACCAGGCAAACGTTGGGCACTCAGGTAAGTTATCTTGGTTGCAGCAACCAGTATAATAAACATCAACATGCCCACTTAAGTAATTCTCCTCCCAGGCACCTTCTGCCATAGGGTTAGAGGTCCCGTGAGGCCAACTTCCATCCTCAATGTAAGAGGTATTAAACCCCCACGGGACAAATCATAAATAGACGCCTCGCATGTTGCACAGCTAGGGCGTCATCCGTCATAACACTCAATTAACGATAAAATCTCCACTTGTAAAACATGTACTGCAGATCAACCACACGTGCCAACCATACTTAAATCCATTTAATAGGGACTCACCTGACACAAATTTTTTCAATTTGACAATTTTTATTTTGATAGTCAAAACATAAAGGGTTACAGAAAGGAAAAGGGTATAGGGGAATAAGTGATTATGCTCAGAATGTTATGACACTTAGACATGCTGTACATTGACCCATGATAGGTTTATAAAATATCTAATACTTCGTACCCCCAAAAATGTCTGCGAAGGACATATGTACAAAGATATAACATTAACGTTATTTATTTTTGTTGGTATCTCTTAGTTTATTAATTTATTAGGAACAAAGGTGGTGTTAATGATATTCTGTCACATCTTATTTCTTTTTTGACATCTGAATCCTCTGAATCCTCTGTGAAGATATGTAAGTATTTGTATGGCGCCTTTGTTTCAGTGTTTTTTTTTGTCACTTTACACTTTTAGACACCGAAACCCAAACGAAATATACATCTACTATTGTGCTACACCATTATGTGATATAAAACATTTCCATTCCTAAACTTCGGCTATACCCCTAGTTGATAAAGGGTAGTAATGGTGATGGTCGTGTTCTAGTGATCTCCTTGGTCTTTGTTGTATATGCTTATAAACATTTAGGCATTTTTATTTGTTAGCTGGCTCATTTTTCTTAGTTTAACATTTTTGTGTTGTGGGGTACATAAAAGAGAGAGGTGGTGGGGGAGGGGGGAATCGTTCATCCCTCATTTATATACAGTAACTTTTACATTGCATATTCCGATTCCCCCAGGGAGGGGTTACAACTTAGCAGAGAGATAGCATTACATGTATGGTGGTTACATTGTCTTTGAGCCAACAGAAACCTGGCTTCCCCGGCGTTGTTAGGCCCTTTTAAGTGTTGTGTAAAATTGCTTTGTGGTCTGTATTTGTCCACTCCGTTTGCTCATTCTGCCTTAACTATTTACAAATTGGTACCCTTACATCATGTTCCTCACTCGCGCTCTGCGTCTTGCGTTTATGTTTTGTATGTGTGTTCGTGTGTGTCTCCTCAGGTTTACTCTTTGTTGTGTCCTTGTGGTTTGCCCTTATTTTGTTCCTCTTTTCTCCTTACCCCTCGTTTCGCTGTCGCAGCCTCCTGTGTGACTTCCTGCTTTAAGTCCCTATATTTCGTGTGGTTCGTGCTCCCCCAAAACCTCTTCCCATCTTTCTCTGGCTTTGATTGTGTGTGTAGAGGTCCCAAATTGGGCGTTCAGTGTTGTCTCGTACAGTAGGTTAGTTGAGATTTGCGATAGTAGTTCTTTTTTTCCGGGTCTGGTGGTCTGTTTCCAGGCTCTTGCGATCAGTGTGTTTGCTGCTATTAGTTTGTGGAATACAAGTGTCGCTTGTGGTTTTTTGTGCAGCTCTAGTGTCATAAACAGTAACCCACATTCGGGTTGTAGGGGCGTACCCGTGTTTAGTGCTTCCTCAATGATTTCTCCCACCTCTTTCCAGAAGGGTTTTATCAGGCTGCATGTCCACCATATATGGTACAGGGACCCCTCCTCTGTCTTACATCTCCAGCATTCTTTGGTTGCATGTGGGTACATTTGCGCCAGTCTAGTCGGCACCATGTACCACCTATACTGTAATTTCCTCAGGAGCTCCAGGTGTGATGCACACCTAGATCTCCCTTTGTGGGCAGTGAAAGCTGTTTGCCATTGGCTGTCGGTGAAACGTTAAACCCTACCTAACTACTGTGAATGTTGATGTTCTGGCAGAGCTTCTCTCCAAGCACCCTTCTACACATCTTGTGGAGTATTTGATTGCAGGGATTTCCCAAAGGTTTCATACGGGCCTCATTTACATACCAGGGGGTACATGGGAAGCCAACAACCTCCAGTCCGCCCTTTGTGACACAGACGCAGTAGACTACCTACTACAAATAGAACAAGACCAAGGATTTGTCTTAGGTCCATTTATTGACCCACCGTTCTCTAATTGGAGAACAAATCCCATTGGACTAGTGACTGGGAAAACATCTAACAAACACTCATTATAGACCTGTCCGCACCACATGCTTCGGTGATATCCAGCCTCAATTCCCTGATCCCGTCAGAGGCGTTATCTTTACAATACACCACCATAGATGACGCCATATCCACCATCATCTCAGCAGGCATAGGCGCATGGTTGAGCAAAACCGACATAGTTAACGCCTTTAAACTACTCCCCATACACCCGTCGCTGTGGCATTTGCATGGTATCAAATGGAGAGGCCAGTATTACTTCTTCACAAGGCTCATCTTCGGATCCAAGGGCAGTCCTAAAATATTTGAAACTTTCGCAGAGACCTTGTGCTGGCTGCTCCTGAATACCAGCAGGTGCCATAGCGTCATTCATTGCTTGGATGACTTCCTTTTCATAGAAAATAATGCTACCCCCCTAACAGTTTACACACAGCCATACACTTATTT